CATGGTCATGACCCTGGTCCAACGAAGTATTGTTTTTTTCCTGGACCATTGCAACAGTTTCCTAACTGGACTTCTGATTCCACTCTTGGTCCTGTTTAATCCCCCTAGCAGTGATCTTGTTAAAGCACTGGTAAGATTCTGTCCTTTTGCTTTACATCACTCAGTGGCTCTCCATTGCACTCAAAATACAATCCAAACACTTTGCTTTGGTCTTCAAGACCTTGCATGGTCTATCTACTCCCTGCCTCTTCAGTATCATCTCATACCATGCCTTTCCTTTCTGCTCACTCCTACCCACTCTGCTCCAGCCTCCCTGGCTGTTTTTGACCCTCAAGCATGACAAACGGTTTCCCATCTTAGGACTTTCAGGGCCTTCCCTCTGCCTGGAATGTTCTCCCCAAGGCTGGCTCCTTCTTATCCTTCCGACCTCAAGTTAAATGTTATCTTCTCAGAAAGGCCTCCCTGTCCACTCTATTACATGCTATCATATCCCCTTGTATGCTTCTTCATTGAACTTCTTTCAGTCTGACATTATCATATTTATTTATTTGTTTATTTGCATACTTGTTTGCGCTGGCTACCTCTAACACAATTGTTCTTAATTCAGGCTCCAGGATGGCAATTTGCCTTTAGTTGGACTCAGCTGGAGTGCATGATTTAAAGGCTTCTTAGGCAGTGTCTGGGATTAACAGGCAAGAGTGCCATGATTGATTAGCAATGTCTGCCACAGACTAAGCAATGGAAGGCAGGTGATAAGTCTTTGCCATGCCTGATCTGGTCAACTGAGTTTCAGCGATTTGACCAAGGCCACACAGCTCGTAAATGACAGCTGGGTGGAATCTAGTCTCCTTGGCTATGTGGAATTCCTTCTAAGAAGCCTATTCCAACCTCACCGTTGATGCCTTGGCCAGTATGGAAGCCTGCAGCCCTTTCTTAAAGGGGAAAAAAGAAGAAGGGAAAGGAAAGGGAAGCTGGGCTGAAATAACTTCTCTGTGTCAGGTGTACGGTTTTGGAGACTTGTTGGCAGTTGGGAATGCAGGGCGTAACACAGTTTTGTCAAAATGTCCTTGGGAATGTGGTGGCATGATAAGAAGTGTCTGGAGGAGCCCAGCATAATAGCAGACACTCCTTTAATAGGCAGAATTCTGGGAGCTCATCACTCACTACCACTTACCCACCACAGTGCCCAGAGTCCACAGAGTAGCTGGCAAAGGCCCCGGAATATTAGGTGTCTTCTGTGTCTGTTTAGCTACAAGGCTCTCTCTCTCAGCTTTTAGGAAGTCAGGTGTGAGGCGCTCTGCCTTTATGGTGTGTCATCGGGGTAAGAGGCAGCCCAAAAGAGCCATAGTGTCTGAGGCAGCAAGGCAAGCTTGCCTGTCACCCAGAAACCCGCACAGAGCAGGTGGCTGAAGGAAGCCCAGTGTATACAGCGGTTGTGGCTGAGAGTTCAGGGCATCGCACTGGGCTGGAGTGCCCGTCAGCATGCCCACACAACTTCCAGAGCCTCAGGGGCTCATGACATCCACATCACCTTCTGGGTGGTTTTCTCCTCCTCCTGGGGGTGGGTCAGCTATAGTTTGGTAGAACCTACAGGCAGGGAGTTCACCCCAAGTTTCCTGGGAAGAATACCGGTCACATAAAAGTATTGAATAAAATAGGTTTAGCACAGTGCTCCCCAGACCGGGCACATAATTAGAATTAGTAGAGGAGCTTTGGAAAAACACTCATTCCTCAACGTCTCCCTAGACCTACCGACTCAGAGCCTCTAAATGGATAAGTCCTCAAAGTCTGTGCTGTTCGAAGGCTTCCCAAGGCATTCTGAAATTATATGGGACTGGTGTCACAAGTTTAGGGCAAAGAAGATAGGACTTGGAGATCTGAAAATCAAGGTTCAAAGCTTCCCTGTGACGTTTCTTGGCTGTGTGATCCTGAGTGAGTCGCCTGACCTTTCTGAGCCTCAGATCTTACATGGGACTAATCATAATTGTGTATATTCTTCCTCCTCAACATTGTTAGGCAGCTCAAATGAGATACGGGTATGAAATAGATTTGTAAACCGTGAAGCTGCTTATTTCGTTCATAAACCAGGGATGTTGAATTTGGCGATGGTGATGGGGGAAAGTTCTGGATAAGGGGAAGAGAAGGGTGTTGGTCATGAAAACCTTGCAATGCCAGTGGAGATCTTGACCTCAGACCTGGACAGTAGCTCATGGGAGGACACTGGCTCAGAGGTGTTTCCCCCACCTGCCCTGTCTGAACCTTTCCTGTTGAAAGAGAAATATGATGGGGAAGCTCCTGGGACAGGCTTAGGGCCAGGTGCAGGGCCACGCTTTGCAGAGCTTTAGCCTGCTATTTTTAGTGCCTGGGTATAAAAGAAAGAAGCTTAAAGTGGCTCCACTGCGGCTGACCCTGCACACTCGGCTATTTTTACTTCTGAAAGACTGGGATCTTGTCCAGCTTAGGGAGGGAAGATGAGAAGAAAGGAGGGAGATGGAGGGAAGAAGGAATTATTTTACTTCCATTAAGAAATATGTCAGAAGCCTGATCTTATCAAGCCAGCTGGTGGATATCCTATCCCAGATGTGTAAGCTGCCCGCTGTGGACGCTGTGACATGCCTGCAGTGGATAGGAGGGGCCAGCAGGTGGGGAGCCCTGCTCCCCTCTTCTCAAGGAGTTTCTGTCCCAGAGTGACCCCGAAGCTTCTTTGCTATATTTTTGTGCCCTGAGCTGGGAAGTGGGCTTGACCACCACAGGCACGAGGGGCACCAGCCTGGTGATGAGGCCGGTGGAGGTGGGAGCAGTTATGACTGCAGCCAAGGGCGGGACCTCTGTTCTCAAGGTGGACAAAGGCGGCCATCAGACCCGCTGGCATATTCCAGAGAGTCCCAGTGTTTGGGATGTGTGCCCTGGGTACAATATTTAACCTCTCTGAACTTTAATTTCTTCATTTAATACATCTGACTCACGGTAGTTACAGCTGTGGGGATGTTTCTCCCTTCCATGAGGAAGTTCAAGCCAGACTCCATGACCTTCAACAGGCAGATGAAAGGCAAGAAGTTACTACTGAGTGCCTACTGTGTACCAAGCACTCTGTCACATGTTTCAACATTTTACGTTGTTTAATTCCACTAACCTGAGAAAGGATAGATATTTTTTAAAATTTTAACAGCTTTATTGAAATATAGTTCACCCATTTAAAGTATACAGTTTGATAGCATTTTGTATTCCTATATTTGTAAATTGTGGCAAAATATATATCACGTACAACTTGGCATTTTAGAAATTAAGTGTACAATTCAGTGACATCAAACACATTCACAATAGTATGCAATCACTGACCAGTTACTGTGGCTCATGCCTGTAATCCCAGTACTTCGGGAGGCTGAGGAGGGCGGATTGCTTGAGCTCAGGAGTTTGAGACTAGCCTGGCCAACATGGTGAAACCCTATATCTACAAAATATACAAAAATTAGTCAGGTGTGGTGGCATGTACCTGTAATCCCAGCTACTCAGGAGGCTGAGGCAGGAGGATCACTTGAGTCCAGGATTGTGCCACTGCACTCCAGCCTGGGTGACAAACTGCTACCCTGTCTCAAACAAAACAAAACAAACTATTATGTAATCACCATCAGACCAGGAGTTCAAGTCCAGCCTGGGCAACATAGTGAGATCCCCCATCTACCAAAAAAGAAAAAAAAAAGGAGGGGGCCAGGCACAGTGTTTCATACCTGTAATCCCAGCACTTTGGGAGGCTGAGGCAGAAGGATCGCTTGAGGTCAGGAGTTTGAGACCAGCCTGGGCAACATAGTGAGACCCCCATCTCTACAAAAAAAATTTTTTTTTAATTATCTGGGTGTAGTGGCGTGTGCCTATGGTCCTAGCTATGTGGGAGCTGAGGTGGGAAGATCTCTTGAGGCTGGGAGGTCAAGGCTGCTGTGAGCCAACCTGGCCTATAGAGTGAGACCCTGTCTCTTAAAAAAAATGGGGTGCGGTGGTGTGCACTTGCAGTCCCAGCTACTGGGGAGGCTGAAGCAGGAGGATCACTTGAGCCTAGTAGTTTGAGGTTGCAGTGAGCTGTGATGGACTCACTGCACTGCAGCCTGGGCAACGGAGCAAGACCTTGTCTCAAAAAAAAAGAAAGATTAAGTGGAATCACATAATATCTGTCCTTTGGTGTCTGCTTTATTTTCCTTAGCGTAGTGTTTTTAAAGTGCATTCATGCTATAGCATATATCAGAACTTTATTCCTTTCTGTGGCTAAGTAACATTTCACATATATACCACCTTTGCTTCTCCACTCATCTATCCAGACACTTGGATTGTTTCCACCTTTTGGCTATTGTGAATTATGCTGCAGTGAACATTGTCCTACAGGTGTCTGTTCAAATTCCTTCTTTTTATTTTTTGAAAATTTGCTTCTTTTCCCCACACTACACAGATGTATGTTCAGATTCCTCTTTTCAGTTTTTTGGGGGTATATACCTAAGAGTGGGATTGCTGGATCGTATGGTAATTCTGTTTAGCTTTTTGAGGAACCATCAAACTATGTTCCACATGGTTACACCATTTGACTTTTCCAGCAGTATCGTTTTTTAAGTTTTTAATTAAACTTCTTATTTTGAGATAATTGCAGCTTCACAAGAAGTTGTAAGAAATAATAGAGATGCCATGCATCACTTACCAGTTTCCCCTAATGGTAACATCTTTAAAAACTACAGTACAATATCACAACCAGGATATTGATACAGTCAATTGACATTGATATGGCCAAGATGCAGAAAATCTTTAAGGGTGAAGTGGGTTTTTTTTATTATTAATTTTTTTTTTTTTAGATGGAGTCTCACTCTGTTGCCCAGGCTGGAGTGCAATAGCGTGATCTCAACTCAAGATCGCCATCTGCACAGGGTCATGTATTCCAGGGATTATCAATTTTTTTCTATTCATGGAGCACTCAGAAATATTAAGATTCTGACCTGTACACATTAAGGGATTAAACGGTGTTAACGGTGGTTAAAACAGAGGATCTGTATTTATTACAGTATTTGGAAATATGTGACACTTTACATTTGAGCATTACTAATGCTTTTCTGCATTCAGAAAAGTATCCATAAGATGATAAAATCTAATAATCCTAGACAGTAATTGTAAGTTAATTAGTATTTTAATGTGTTTCCTGAGTCTACTTTTAGATATTTTATTAATATAAGGACACAAACAATAAGGCAACTCTCATTTCAAGTTCAAGTCTTGTTGTTTTTTCCAGTTAGTGTTTGTAAGGCTTAAGCATCCTAATTTTAAAAGTAATTGCCCATTGTATCAGTCAGTGAAAATTGCTTTCTGTCGCAAGTTATAGAGAACCTGATAGCAGCGTAAGCATGGATAAATGAAGTTGGTTTTTCCACCTTACAAGAAGCCTGGAGATGGGCAGCTGCTGTATTGCACAGAGCTCTCAGCCATGGCGGCAGGGGCTCCAGCTCTTTCTTTCTTCTCCGGTGTTCTTTGGTGTCCTCAGACAGCCATGTCATGACTGCAAGATGGTTGCCACAGCTGTAGGCTTCACCTTCCAGGTTGGGGCAAGAGAAAGGCAAAAAGAGCTGCACTGAACATGTCTGTCCCTTTTCTCAGAAAAGCAAAACCATTCCAGAAGTCCCACCATGGACTTACCCTGACGTCCCATTGGCATGGTGGCACACACCTATGGTCCCAGCTACTCGGGAGGCTGAGGCATGAGAATCGCTTGAACCTGGGAGGCAGAGGTTGCAGTGAGCCGAGATCGCACCACTGCATTCCAGCCGGGGCCACACAGTGAGAGTCTGTCTCAAAAACAGTAAAAAAAGAAGAAGGCCACTTCACTTAGGTGGGGGTCCATCTTCCCCAACCCCAGGCAAGGGGTGCAGAGGTTGCAGTAAGCAGAGATCGCACTGCTGCATTCCAGCCTGGGCCACTTTTTTTTTTTTTTTTTTTAACAGCATAACCTGATAATTGATACACATATTGATTGGAGCCATTGACCACTATGCTGTAAAGATCTGGAGGAGAAAATTTAGAGGAGAACTTACATTTGCTGTACCCTGGGAGGTCATACCATGGAATGGCAAAGACCTTGGGTCTTTTATTGGGCAGATTACTGAATCTCTCTGAGCCTTAGTTTTTCTTGTTTGGAAAATGAGGATAATAGCACCTGCTTTATATTTTTGTGCATTCAGTAGGGTAATACATACAGAGAGTCCTTTACAAATTATGCTGTTATCATTATCATTATTAATGTGATTTAGCAAAAACTTGGGTGCAATGCTGGGGAACAGTAATAATAAGGATGATGATGATAATAATAATACTTTCATTTTCTAAGCACGTGCTGTGTCTTGGGTACCTTGACAGACATTGGGGCAGGACTGTGAGCCGCCCCTGGCCTTAACGGGCACCTAGTCAGTAGGGGAAGCCCAGTGTGCTCTGGGAGCCCATGAAGAAACCCGGCATGGGGATGAGGAGGAAAGAGGTACATCCACCCCTGTATTCAATATCAAGTCTTTCCTGAACATCCATGAAAGGTCAGGCCCTATATCAGGATGCAGAACACCCCAGATGGAGCCATCAGCAGAGGTGGCGACTGCCCATCTCCTTGCCTTGCTGAAGGACGGACACCTCTTTTTATTTTGTGTTGAGCACGTCTCACTGTGATTGACAGCTGCTTGCCAGGAAGCAGGGTGGATGGGAAGTGAGAGTTCATTCCAGTGGCATCTAGGAAAGAAGGTCAGTAAAGTGGGGTTGGGGCTTGTCCTGGACTCAAGGAGAGTATATGTTTAAGATCCTGGCATACAGTAGGTGCTCAGTAAGTGGGGGCCCTTACTGTCTCTTATGGATGAGGTGGACCATTTTCACTCTTGGTCCCGTCACCATTCCAAGGGGAAGCAGAGCTTGGTGGAGGGTTTGGTTTGGCCTGGGTATAGTGAACAGAGGAGGCTTCTATGTAGACACGTCACAGGATAGAGTCAGAAAGCTTTTCTAGACAGGGAACTTTTCCCAAAAAACTTTCACAGGAAAAATCATCCTTCCTGTGTTTGTGTCTGCTCCTTCTGCCCTCCCTGAAGGGGCTTGGAGGGGTGAGGGGACAAATGTGAGCCAAAGTGCTGGCAGCATATAGGTTCAGTCTGGAGCTGGATGGCATCTAGCTGTCCCTTTAGGGTCCAAGGTACGGGTACGAGTTGATAGTACAGCTGTATTTGCTAGGATGCCTTAGTGCAGCGCTCCTCAAACTCTGTTGTCCATGCAAATCACCTTGTCTGATTCCTCTGTGGCCAGGCCTGAGATTTCGAGGCTTCCACCAAGTCTCAAATGATGGCGATGATGCTGGCCTGCAGACCACACTTGAGGAGGAAGACAGCGGAGACTGCTCCTGCCCACACCTACTCAGCACTCTCTATTTGTGTGTGTGTGCGTATGTGTGCATGTATACATGCGTGCGTGTGTGTGAGTGTGTGTGTGCTGATCTGATGCCTGGGCTTTGGCCACCAGAGTCTGCTCAGCCTGGACCTGGGAGGCAGGCAAGAAGCGCCAAAGCAGCCTGCAGCTGGGAGCCTCAGTTGCCCACAGCAGTACTGTCCTCAGGAACACATTTGTTACTGGCTTTCTCCCCTCCTTGGAAACTGTCCGCATGCACAGCCTTGTCGCAGATTCTGCTCCTGGAGAAGTCAACAACAGATGTTGTCAGTTACAAAACCTGACCTTCTAGGCAGAAGGGGAGTTTATTGGAAACCTATCAGGAGGCTCAAAGAGTACGTTGAGAAACCAGACAAGAACCACGAGAATCCCTGGAAAGCCCAAGAGCAGGACAGCCGGTAGCCAGGACACACTGGCCAGGGGCTGCCTACACTCCGCTGTGGAGGCGCTGCTGGTCTGATCAGTCCTCACCTTCACTCTGCCCTTGTGCCTCCATTTGATGGTGCACTTGACTGAGCCTGTGTCATGGGTTCATGCCTTGACCTCCAGAGGGCAGAGAGAAGAACGTGTACTACTCAGATATCCATTGAGGGGTGAGGTGCAGGCTTCCAACAATTCCCCTATTCCCAAGAGGGTGATTACCTTTTTAAAATTTTTTTAAAATTTTTCCTTTGAGATGGAGTCTCACTCTGTCACTCAGGCTGGAATGCAGTGGTGCGATCTTGGCTCACTGCAACCTCCACCTCCCGAGTTCTAGTGATTCTTGTGCCTCAGCCACCCGAGTAGCTGGAATTACAGGCATGTGCCACCACACCTGGCTAATTTTTGTATTTTTAGTAGAGATGGGGTTTCGCCATGGTGGCCAGGCTGATCTCAAACTCCTGACCTCAAGGCATCCATCCACCATGGCCTCCCAAAGTGCTGGGATTACAGGCGTGAGCCCCAGCGCCTGACCAGGGGAATTTCCTTTAAACAGGAAGCCCGGGTGGGCTGCTGAATAGACTCCCCCTCTCCCCGACTAAAAAACGTTCACTGCAACCATGTAGCACCAGGTACAAATGCACCAGGTTGTGGGGTTGAAAAAGACATTGCTGACAAAAATGTGGAGTTATAGGCTCACTCAGTGACCTCACAGCATTCTTGCCCTCCAGCGGGGGATGTGACCTGGAGTCCTGAACTGAAAACACCTGGGACAGCAGAGGGGTGGGGGGTAGTGTCCTCAGCACCCCGAAAGCCCTTTAGGGCAATGTGCACTTAAAGGAATTTTCTCCACTCATTCAGTAAACAAAGTAATTTTGCTTTCAGTTGCTCTAGGAAACTTCCTCCTTCCCAGGGACTTAAATTTAGTAGCTGTACATCCTAATAAAGAAACAGCCAGAAAATAGCCCCAGGCATGAATGGGCTCTAAATCATCATTCCACTAAGTAACCATTGTTCAGGCTTCCCCTTGCCTCTCCTGGAGAAAGGCCTGAATCGGGGGACTGGCAGCCAACCCTCTGGGGCTGAAGGACGGACAAGGCTGGGACAGGGATGAAGATTCTGTTTCTTCTGCTCCCGATCTAGCAAGCACCAGAGTTTATTAGAAAAGGGAAAGACAGGGCCCTGAAGGTCAACTGTGCGGGGCTCTGTGAGGGTGATACTCACCGCCTTTGGGGAAAAGAACAGAAGTTGAACCTGGCCTGTCACAGCAGAGGCTGAGGTGGCAACCAGCTTGCTTCTCTGAGGACTCTGGTCTCCGTGTCTGATTTCTTGTGTGTTTCAGTCAAGGCCCATTTCATGGTCAGGAAAAGGGAGCTGTTCTGTGAGCTCGAGGCAGGGACTCCAAGAAGGCACATTGTCTGAGGCTGGCCTGGAAGAGCCACAGCAAGAAAGCAGAAGTGGCTTCCAGGTTCCACAGGGCCCCAGCACCATGCTTGGGGCACCTGCTCTCTGGTGCTTTTGTGCAGTTCGTACTTTGTAATCAATTTGTTGGGATTCATCCTTGCAGGCCAGGCCACATCAGTGGGTAGACAGTCTGAGCTGTGTGCCCACCTGAGGCCCTGTGCCTTTGATCTGCTGGTAGGGGCTTGAAATGGTACCAACGTGTCTGTCCAGGCAGCAGGAGCTGTGGGTGAGGCAGACTTCTGGAAGGCAAGTTGGATACAGTGACAATGACAGTTCTCTCCAGGGTAAACTCTCACTCCTGGAAGTGGGTGTCAACGTGGAGTAGCCACGGCTGCTTTTGAACCTACTTTCAAGATATTTCCAGGCACGGATTTTCCAGTCCAGAGGTGACCAGTCCAACTGTTGCATTCCCAGCCCCTGGGGACTTGTGTAAAGACAGACTCTAGAGCATTATGCTAGAACCTCAGAGAGTGGGATCTAGAAATTGACTTTGGTAATGAGTGCCTCCTCAGATGCTTCTTATGTGGAAAATGTGAAAACCCCTGAAGTGCCTGTGAATGACTGGGATTCCTTTCTTTTGTTGGCAAGTTAACTTAACCCTCCCTGGATTCAAAGCAGATCTAACATAATGTGACTTTTTCCGCCAGCACTTGGTAGAGTGTCTTTGTTGAGATAAGGAGAACCAAGGGCTGAGGGTTGCTTGAGATGGATTTCAGAAGGATGCTGAATCCAGAGAGACAGGACCAGGCCTGGGGCAACTGGGATGCGCCATTACTGTTAGACAATTATTTTAGGATTGTCCAGCCACCTGACCTGAGGCTGGCCATGGGGCAGCTGTCAGAGGTCATCTGAGCATGGCCCTGAAGGACCCAGCCAGTGCTGAAATTCCAAAGTCAGTGCTTCTACCCTGGTGATGTTGAACAACTCCTGAGATCTTTTCCCTTTGCTCCCCAATAGGTGTGCGCCTTGATCGAGTGCGTGGAGGCCGCCAGAAATACAAGCGACGGCTGGACTCAGAGAGCAGCCCGTACCTGAGCTTACAAATTTCTCCACCTGCTAAAAAGCCATGTGAGTGTCAGTCCCTGTCCTTTTTGCCAGATCATCTCTGTACCTGGAACATCAGGCATCCCTTAGGGAAACGTCATCTTCCCACCACTGGGTCATGAGACAATATGGATCTTGGGGAGGTGACATCAGTGCCTGGCACATTTAGAATGTGACTCCAATTGAAGCATGGTCCTGACAAGCCACAGGCCCCAATGTCCAGAACATGCTCCCCTTGCCACCCACCCAAGGTTGCTCTGCAGGTTCCTTCTGGAGAATTCATCAGGCAACTTCCCTTGGAGGGATATTTCTCAATATCCCAGATCACTGC